GTAGTCTTATCCTTATTCCTTCAGCATGTATGCCTGCAAACATAGGTGAGCTGCTGTGGTTAAAAAGGAACCATGTGTATGAGCAAAAATATTTTGTGAGCTGGAAGGGGAGATAACTAAGCACTCCCACCTGGCATTGATAGGATTACCAAGCACTGCGAATCACTCAGGCAAAGAGGCCTGAGATGACACTTCAGACTTTTTATTACAGCAAGGATATTGGTTCCATTTAAAATAAGAAAGTAGGGTCATCTTAGTGCGGTTCAGTTCAAAGCTTTGAAAATATCTTTTATTTGACAGATTTGAAGTAAGCGGTTTTGATCTTTCTGCAGTGGGAGCACTGTAGCTGTTGAAAGCAGTGGCAGCTGAACTGCTGTTTTCTTATGCCCAGCCCCCTTTTAAGACAACAAATCACAAGAAGGGGTGACTGAAAATTATTTTGTAAGCATTTCTCTCATTTGAAACATGTTGTATATATAGGCTTTCTTTCCTTTGATTTTTTCTTTTTAAAAGGATTTTAAAACCATGTAGTCCTTGTCCTGTGATATGCATATTACAGAGTTCCCTGAACACCTGAAGTAATAATCTAACCTGAACCACTTCCCCTGGCTATATTACAAGAGAATTTGACTTTGCATTAAGTTTTGAAAACCGTATGTGGGGATAACATTTCAACTTCATGCTCTCTCTTCATTGTGAATGACAAAATATGCTTTGAAGTGCTTTTCGTACTCTCTACCACTATCTTTTGCATGTGAATGAATGCTAATAAAAATAGACCTGTGCTGACTTTCAATTTTAATAGGATGTTCTGCCATCTCTTTCATTTGTCTGTCTCCTGAATTTAAGTTTTATTTTGTTTGTAGTTCCAGGACCTATACCTGCCAAGTCAGTGAAAGGAACCCCTTTTGAAGATAAAATCTTCCTCAACTGGAAGGAACCTGTGGACCCAAATGGCATCATCACTCAGTATGAGGTAATCATCAAACAGCTGACAAGCATACAGGATGGGACTAGGAAAATGTTGGAGAGAGGTGGTTGGTGGTGGTTTTTTCTTCTCTGAAGGCAGACTGTTCAATTAGACACTGCCTTCCCTTAAAGAATACTGGAATAGATGCTCAAAATTTGTATGTGGTGTATGCATTGTTGCCTGAGTGGCCCTGTCCAATATCTTCAGCAAGTGAATGTAACAGTGTTAGAAACCCCATGGCAAGTGCTAATTTTAAAAATCTTGTATCGTTACTATTCATCCTTCCAAGGCCGTGATAAACATGACCTGTGAAATCTTATTTGTTGGAAGAGAAGGTTACTTGAAAGGTAAGAAGATTATTAAATTTGGAAGCACCTTTTTTAACTTTGTGAGATCTTTGGATATCACCCTTCAGAGAAACCTGCATATATATTCAATTTAGAATGTGTTTAATACATGAGCCCTCTTCCGCAGAAGACTGGTAGGAAACTTTTCTAAAAATGAACCATCCTCTCCATCAGCCTTTATAAGGAACAAAGGTTACAATTTTGCATAGTAATGATTTTTAGGAGCCAGAGAAACCAAAAACAAACCCCCCTTGAATAAGTGTTGTGGTTTGACACTGGTGGGCAGCCAAGCACCATCCAACCTCTCGCTCACTCTTCCCAATGGGAATGGAAGGGAAAATTGGAAAGGCAAAAGTGAGAAAAAGCATAGGTTGAGATAAAGACAGTTTACTAAGTAAAGTAAAGCTGCATAGACAAGCAAAGCAAAACAAAGAGCTCGTTCACTTTGTCTCATAGACAGGCAAATGTTCAGCCATTTCCAAGAAATCAAGGCTTTATCACATCTATATAGGAAGACAGACGTTGCCACTGTGAGAAATGCAGCACATACATATGCTCTTTCAAATGAAGCAGACTGGACAACAATACACATCAAGTACACATGGTATCTCTGAGAAAACTGAGTAGTTAGATGAATATATGATTTTTGTTTCATTTCTATCCAAGCTAGCTTAATCCCCTTGTAATGAAACTGCAACAAAATTTTGGAAATAATCTTTTTTTCCAGGTGAGCTACAGCAGTATACGGTCGTTTGATCCTGCTGTTCCAGTGGCAGGACCTCCACAAACTGTGTCAAAACTGTGGAACAGCACACACCACGTCTTTTCACATTTACATCCTGGGACTACTTACCAGTTCTTTTTACGTGCAAGCACTATCAAGGGGTTTGGGCCAGCAACCACAATCAATGTAACAACCAACATTTCAGGTAAAAAAAAATAATAATAATAATAATAATAATAAAAATTAAAAATTGAGTGGGGCAAGAGTGGGCAGTGTTCACTGTTATTAATGAAAATGCTTTTGACTGTACTTCCTGAGCAATAGCACAAGTTCAGGGAAATTTTACAACTGTAGTTATGAAATGTTTAATTTTGTTTAATATTTTACTTTCATCTATAGATTTTTTAAGTGCTTTACAAACTTCAACTAATTAAGCCTTGCATCACTCGATAAGTTACTATGTACAATTTAGTTGTTTTGAAGATTAGTAAAGTCAGATTCAGAAAATTAACTGACTTACTCAAGGTGCCACATTTACCAACATACGACTGTAACAGAACTGGGGAAGTTAACACTAAGTGTGCATTTCTTCTGCCAGCTTCAAATAGTTCTGCTTTTAATTTGTGCCTTTTTTCACTTACTGCAATGTGCTAAGAATGACTGTTCATCTTAATAATGCACTGAAAACTCTAGAATAAAAGCAGTGTCAAATTGAATGCTTTAATATTTTGATTTCCTTAAATTTTAATATAATTCTCAAAACATAAGATAGCTTATGCAGTTGACAAGCAGAAAATGAGTCAATGCTATATCCATAGAGACTGTTGATTTTAAGGTATGATAACTTCACAGCTTAGCAGGTTGCAAAAAAGTCAGTCACTTAAAAATGTAAGCAGCACAAAGCAAGCTATTTCCCTTATTATCTGCCAAAATGAAACTTAAATCCTCCTGTAAAGGAGTGTTAATAATGTATTGAAATGCACGTACCATTTCTTTGGAAAACTATTTACCACCTCTTCTCACCCAGTTTCCTAAAACATGCACGTGAATTAAAATGTGAGAAAATTCAAGGCAGAACTCCTTGAAATCTGTAGTAAGTTAAATGCTGTATTTGTAGTTAACTTTAACAATTTGTTGAATTCCATCCCAGAACATAAGTACTCGCATTCATCATTCTCCAGCCCCTTCCAAAAGCAAAACAGACAAAAACAAATGCTATGTTCTGTTCATCTAGCCTATGAGGTTGTTTTGCAGTCTGATGTTTTACTCCGATTCTTTGAAGTCTTGTGTTACTTTACAACAAATTCCAGGTCATAAACATTCAGAGATGATGGACATGTGGCAAGTACATACCTCTCTTCTAATTGTGAAAATTAGGGGAAAAAAAAGTTATAACAGCATGCCTGTGTCCCAGCCATTTTGCTATTTTAAGAAGCATCTCAAAACGTCTGAGTAATTTAGGGCTATGATGTATTCAGACTTCTTCAGATTTATCTTCTTTCCATTCAAAAATATTGAGAATTTTGTCCAGAATCCACTGAGCCACAACTAATTGGACACAGTATGGATATGTGTTAGTTAATACTTGGAAAATACTTAATACTAGAAAAGCTTAGAAGTAAACTGTGACACCCTTTTATCTGAATTTCAGAGTTGTTTACACCTACTGAATATGGTGTAAAGAGTAATTCCTAGATGAACCTTCAACAAACATTATTTCTTTGAAACAATAATATTTTCTGAAATGAACAACATTTGAATGTGCTTTTAGGATCTGAGACTAATGAAGTATAGCTTTTAGTCTTTCTTTGCTCTTCCATCTATTGATGTATTATCTTAAAATTATTAATTAAATTTAATTAAAATTATTGTGATTTAAATGATTTACATCCTGCTAGAAAACAACTTTTTGTGACAATTAATTTTGAAACACAAAGGCATCATTAACAATTTTATAAAGGTAAACCTACATGCTAAAAAAAAAAAAGGAGACCAACAGGAAAAACCACACAAATATGAAGATAGTTTTCAAGTTGTTAGAGTTTACTATCTAATGGATATGCATTTTTTTCTGAAACACAGAAGATCCTGTATCTTTCCTTGCACTAGAGCTGTTGAGAACAACAGTATAATTAGTCAGTGCTATGACAGGTTTGTGACGGCAGACCAAAGTAGCATAGCTAAACTGGATGACTGAATTGTTGGAGAAGGTAGAGAGGTCGTGGATGTAGGTCTTCAAGATTGCAAATATACTTTTTTGAAAGAAAGGGAGAATAGATTTTGTGTTCTTGGGGTTTCTTAGCAGTCAAATCCTCCCTCACTTGAGGGAGGGAGACCCAATGGGGAGCAGGATTATCAGTTGTTGCTCTAATAAAAAGTAGTGCTTGACTCAAATAATTAAAAAAGGGTCACGTAGCTGATGAATATCATGCCTTTTTATTGTATTATGAACAGCCACGAAACTCAAAACCTTTTCGCTGATTTGTTTCTTATTGTTTTCCTTCCCACTGAACATTAATCAGCTCCCACTTTACCGGACTATGAAGGAGTTGATGCGTCTCTCAATGAAACTGCTACTACAATAACTGTGCTCTTGAGACCAGCACAGGCCAAAGGTGCTCCTATCAGGTAAAAAAAAATAAAAATAAAAATAATAAAAAAAAAATACACACCAAAAAAACACAAAAAGTGAAGAAATCAAAAGAGGTTCTTTAGCTGATCTTTAACTGATTATATGCTGTCTTGAAGCTGATAAAGCTATTCATTTTTAAGTGATATTCATTTGACGTTACTGTTGTGTTTCTTAGTGAAATTGTGTTTGCCAATAGACCTGTAATTAATGAGTGATATTTTTTTTTGTCCCAAAAGATAGTCATGACCTTAATCATCCAGCTGTCCATCTTGTTTGATTTAGGGTCCTTAGGACTATCTCCTATCCATTATCATTTCATTTCACTTCCTCTCGGTGTCTGCGAAATATGAGGTTGAAAGGTGTTTGTCAGAAAATGGATTTGAAAATAACACTTCCTCTCCAGTGCTTCAAATCATCAGTTCTGTAGCACATATGTATGATTGGAAAATTGAAAGCTCAGAGGAAATGGGAGAAAAATACTGATGAATACAAACTATTTGACCTTTTTTTTTCCCTCAGAGTGCTTCATAGTAGAAATCATGTAGCAAGCTGTTAAATTTTATTTGGCATGTCCCATAATCATATTAAAATATGTCATTTATGTTAATTTCAGGGGTCTTTCCCTTTCTGCTCTCTATTGAGAGATAATTCAATTCTGGTTGCAAAGATAGTCCACATCCCACTTTTTTCTTTTGCTTGTTAGTGCAAAATTTTTGGTTTTTGTATTTATTTTTTTTTGTTTTTGTATTATTTGGTTCCATTTGTGTTTTGCTGATACGACTGCATCAGGAAGATTCAGGGACAGAGCCGAGTAATTGCGGGTTAATTAGCTACTGAGCATCAAAACCTTTTCACGCTCTTACCCTTGTGACATCTGAAGAAATATGGGCTGATGCATTTTGTTCTGTGTTGCATTGTCAACTACTGTGGTTCAGCTGGTGTCCAGCAATGTGCCTGAGCCCTATGAATCTGTTTCTATTAAGAGGAATGTTTGTTTTACTTGGATATTGTGTGGGTGAGTCACATGCCTACAAGCATTTTTATATCCTTATCACACAGTCATCCTTATGATCAATATAATTCAGTTATTTATTTGTGTCATAGAAGATCATCCAAATTAGTTTCCTCTGAAGGAGATATTGATGTAAATAAAATTGTAACCTTATGCATCTGGAGTTTCTGAAAGATTGCCCTGAAGCAAACCTAGGATTTTTGTGCAGAGTGGAGAATGATAAGATGTACAGGACATAGTTGCTAAGGCAGGGTTTGTGTCAAATTGATACAGTGGAAACCAGACCTGAGATCTGAAAACACTCCCAAGATACACAAGTGCTTAAACTCACTATGCACCTCTGTATGTGCTTTTTAAAACCTTCCTGGTTTCTTGCTGCTGACCATGTGCAAAGCTTTCCCTCTTTAGAAACATGATAGCTCTCTCTATGCAGTACCAAATCTTTCCAGTCTTGCACCTGGTTCCTAGAGGAACCAATGAGTAGTTTTGCCCAGAGCATATCTAACAGCACAACTGGGAGCTGCTGATTGTGATGATGCCCATCTTTTCTACACAGACTGTTCTGCATCTGTGCACACAGCAGGGGGCTCCAACATTTAGTCCCATTGCTTACACTCAGGAAGGTCAGTATTTCATCCCAGGGTTCTCTCTTGGGGATTTTCTTTCATAACCTGGTAGCATGATGGGATGTGGCTAGAGGATTATATGCACTCAGAGTGCTCTGCCTCTCTGTACTGTACTTGCAGGCAAGTAAGTCACTGTCAAGGAAACCTTCACCACAACGCCTCTGACTTGTTCTGTCAATTTACCTTACAGCATCCTCAGTCCATTGGCTTGAGGTTGTCATTCTGGCCTATGAGAGGGATGCAAAGGATCTGTGTATTAAAAGTTAATCAAAAGTTTGATAGGGATGGCTGAAAAGAGTATTAGTAATTATTATTTGAGTATATTCTCAAAAAAGAGTGTGTCTTTCTTCCAGTCTCCCATCTTCCCTCTCAATTTTAATTGATTTTGAATACCTAGGAAATTACATTGAATTTCTAATATCAGGAAACACACAAAATAAATCCTCCTCTGTAACCAGGAAGCTGAGCTTTATTCTTAAAATAGGTGTTTTATTTTTTGTTCTGAATGAGGAATGTTCTTCAGGAAAATGCATAAGACATTGTTCCTTCCCTGTATATTGCAATCAGTTTTTTTCAACAGCTTCTTAAAAGGAGAGAGAAATGTAATACACAAATTCAGAACTGATTTCACTCAAGATTTTGACCAGTTTTACTGAAGCTTCGTTCCATCCACACTGCAGTTGCTTTTCTACTATAAGCCTGTCTTGCTATCATAATGAGTGTTACCAGGTAGATGGCAAAAATGTATCACCATGCCTGAAGCTGTGATTGAGTAGAGCAGGGACTGTAATGCTGCTCTTCAGCCTGACACTGAAGAATACGGCTGGTTTTTTTTAAAGGTTTTGTTTGCACCCAGCTCTCTAATCCCTGGAGCTGCAGGCTGTCAAATGATCAATTTATTTAATAGCAGTAGGCCCATGTTAAATAATAATAATAAATGCATGAATGAATAAAATTATAGAGAAAGAAAAGCTTACAGTCTGGTACTCTTTTACCAAATGAATTATACTATGTTCATGTTCTGTTGTACCTCTGCTTCTCTATCAGCACAGCCCCCACGAAACATGTTCCTTAACCCAATTGAAATTTCCAGGTGGCTGTCAGTCATTTTTTTGAGATACTACGTGCCATAGTCATTGCAATTGTAAATGTGACTCTAATCATATCTTCCTCTTCAAGTGTTGTCATTTAATCTATTCTAACTTGTTTTATGATCTTCTGAAGTTTTAAATCAAATTGCAAACTAGAAATCCAAAAGTAAAAGGACTTTTTGGGCTTGTGCTCTCTGTGAAGAATACTGTTTTGCCATCAGTCTGGTGGATTAGATCCCAGTCAGTAGCATCAGCAGTGCTTCAGTAATTCATTTGAAAACATGATTTACCACTGTAGTTTTTCTAAAGGATCATTCTGACTGACCATCAGCAAAACAATCTCCTGTACATCCTTCTTTCAAATCCTGCTTCAAATGAGGTTTAGAGAGAGCATAGATCAGAATCAGTGTAGACAACTTTTTAATGATGAGATTTATTTTCTGTGATTTGGGAGCATGTTCCCAATACCTCTATATGCAGAATTAGGTTGTTTTCATTACGCAACAAAATTGAGCAAGTGGGCCACTACAGGAAACAGCTAAAACATAGCTGTCAATCAAACTAGGCACAGGTTGTAACTTGGGCTATTGTTCAGTCTGGCACTTGTCTAAGCAAAGGATGCTGTGTCTCCACTAGAGGCACAGAAAGAATTTTCTAGCTGATACTAATGCCTATGAAATACAGACAGCATGTCTACCACTGCAATATCTATTTGAGCTGGGGTTTTAAGGGAGAGGTAAAAAGAAAGGTCTGTTGGCAGGGGCAATTTAATTTGCACTTTATCAGGTTGGTTGATAGAGAGGGACTGCACAGGTTTTCTTTAGAAAATAAAAAGGTTTTTGATCTGAAAAGTAATCTCTTCATGCAAAATGTTGGCTGGGGGGCTCCTCACCTATTTAGGACTAGTAATATATGTAAAAAACAAAAAAAAAAAACAAAAAAACCCATGGACAAGCAAACTGCGTTACCTTTAAACTGTCATTTAAACCTTGATCCCTTGCAGTCTTTGCAGCCAGCACGCACTTCACTTTTCATTATGCAAATTTAGTTCTGGCTTCTTTCTTTGCATCTTACAGTGGAGTGTCCTTTCTGTTATGAGTATGCAGAGTAACATATCATACACAGAATGCTGCTTTGGAACCACCAGAGTGTTAGTAAATGGGTTTTAACAGATGGCATCACCAAGGGCCCAGAGGTAAATGGTTATATTCCTGTGTGTCTTGTTAGCCTACAATGTTGCAGGAAAATACTGCCAGAAACTCTTTCCAAAGAGGATAGCTCTTTGGACTAGTTTCTTATTTTTTCTCTCTCATTTATTCCATTCTCCAGTATCACACTTCATCTCTGCCACTACAGTTATTAGGTTTTCTGGGCACTGGTAGCAGAGAAAATTGACAAAATAATTTAATGTTGCCCCATAAGTTCTGAAAAAATGAGGATTGTCTTGCCTTTGTCTTTGCCTTTTGGAGTCCCTGCAGCAATGCAGTGAAGTTTCCAGAACTCTCCTTGATTTCAGTTTTTCTGTTTTGAAATCTTAAAAACAAAACCAAATCAGAAAATTATATTCATTTAGCTGAAATGCTTCAGTCTTATCTGTGTTCTTAGACATATTTATTTTATTCATCTTGATAACGAGGTGAGTGTTTGTAAGAAGGTCTTTCATGTATCCTCTCATGTATCTACATGTAGATGAGAGTTTAACTGTGTCTATATATGTGTATTTTATACATACATATATACTTGTTCATACAGTTCTTAAAATGCAAACAGCTAGGTTTTTTTCTTTCTTATAAACTGAAGAATTGCTTCCTGTTCTCAGTATACAACTTCTGTGTACCAACCTCTGCTTCTGCAGAGCAGGGAGAGATGATAATGACTTGGTAGCATACTGCAGTTAGGTAGTTCCCCTGAAGGAGAGAGAAGAATTATCATTACCTGTTCTATTTTGAGAAGGTGATTTTGAAAAGTGACCAACCCACAGACCATTTCAAGATAGGTACTGGGGGGCTGGGATGGTGATTTAATAGGCCGAATGCCATCTGCTTCAGCAGTTTCTAACATTTTATCATTGACAACTGTAGAGGAATGAGGCAGTCTATCTTGGTGGAATGGACAGATTTCTGTCCATCTGTGCCTGCATTATGGCATGTCACTTGTACTTTAGATCTGCATAGCTCTGAGCCAAGATAGAAGCCACAGCAAGGTCAAGAGGTGGAGAAGCCTGTCAGCACATTCTGTCTCTAATGATATGACAACTGCAAATTGGTGTTTCAAGCACAGCCTGGAGGCAGTCATTATGTTGGGCCTTGAAGCTGAGCTTTCTCTAATATCATTGCAAAGGAAAATGCTAACTTCAGATGTTTCTGATTATCGGATAAAGAGTTTAATCTAGTTTAAAGTCAGATTAATTCCTGTGTTTATTGTTTATTCAACAGTTAAAAAAACAAAAACAAAAAACAAACAAAAAAAACATTGTTAGGGAATTGCATAGATATATTTGTATTGTTGTTGTTCCTGGAAGGATAGATGCTGCTTCTTTTCAGTGGCTGAATTAGACAGCTTTGCAATCTAATCTTTGTATCTTTGTGTCTTCTCTGTATCCATGCATCCACTGTCTTTTTTTCTTTTTTTTCTAGTGCCTACCAGATCGTTGTTGAGGAGCTGCACCCGCACCGAACGAAGCGAGAGACAGGTGCCATGGAATGCTACCAAATCCCCATCACCTACCAGACGGCTCTCAGTGGGGGATCGCCATATTACTTTGCTGCTGAGCTGCCCCCTGGAAACCTGCCGGAGCCTGCCCCTTTCACTGTGGGTGACAACAGGACCTACCAGGGTTTCTGGAATCCACCACTGGCTCCTCGGAAAGGCTACAACATCTATTTCCAGGCCATGAGCAGCGTTGAGAAGGTGAGTGCCAACCACACCTTGCTCCTGGAAGAGTCAAAGATGTCCCCCTGTGACCATGAGAGCATCCAAGCTGGGCTTGTTGGAAGTAGCACCCTTCGTTTCCATGCTATGACAGTATGGCAGCCTGCCATTCACATTTCACGCTATCCTTGTGTCACAGTAAATGTTACTAGTTGCAAGTTTAATACCTCTCATATTATAATACAAGTTATTATAAAAATTAATATTTATACCAAGTATATTAGTATAATATAATAAAATATTACTAACTTGTATATTAGTAACACATATTTTATATGTAACATAATGATATACTAATAGTATATAGTATATATTGTATGCTATATATTTATGTACTTTATATAATATAGTAGATATAATAATATAAGCAGCAATATTACTAATATGCATATTTGTAATATGTAATATATATTTTATTTATAATGTATATACTACTATATAGTATATATACTATGAATTTATATACTGGCATCCCCTGATGTTTCCCCAACTCTCCCAACTGGGACTCTTATTACTGCAGGATAAACAGAATCAGGCTGCTCAGCAGGCTAACGAAAACTTGTAAACTTATGGAGAGTCTCACCCGAACCTCAAAAAGTAAAAAAAATTGCTTGAGCTAAAGTAACTCCATGCCCATGGTGTGTTTCTGAGAGCCTTTATAGCAAAGTCTGCTTCAGGATTGTTCAACTGCTGTGCAGCATTCAAAGTGTGGCTGTCACTCACCTTCATTACCTCCCCAGTGCTTCCTTTTTAGCCCTGTTGCTGAGCACTGTGGCTGGCTCTGTGCATATGAAAGAGAAAAAAGCGGCAGGAAGTTAAACATCACAGTGCACTCCAGGTGGGAGGAACACCATGGCTCTGCAGGCCCCATGCTCTTGCTCCTGAATTGTTTTTCTCTTGCAAAGGAAAGTAAGGGTAAAGGTGGTAGGCACAGAAACTTCAAATAATTAAAAATTTAGATTTTCAGTCTTTAGTTTAGAAAACTGGAGGACATTGCTGTAAGACTCTCCACAAGAGGTATCCAGGCAACCCAGGAAGGAGCTGCCTGATAGCAAGATTGACAGCAGCTGGTGCTCACCAGGACCAGGAAGGGAGAGGAGTCATGTGTGTTCTTTTGGGGTCTCTGCTGTGATCAAATAAACCATCGTTAGAAAAGGGGCATTGCTTTGGTGCCTTTTGAAGACAATCTCGCTTTCTACCTCTGGTTATGAAATCCACTTGCATCAAATCAGGATGAGGAAAAAGCAGAAACTGTTTATTAGAGCTGTTTGCAAACTGAAAGCTTTTTCTGATGGAAGCGCCTGTTCTGTCTGATTTTCATCTGTAAAACTCTAGGAAGCAAACAATGCAAAATGAAGAGCAACTGCTAGTTACACGTTTCTATGTCCCTTACTTTCTATGTGTAATTCCCTTTGTTGTTGTTGGCTTCCAGCAGACTAAATCATGGGGAAATTCATTTAATTTCCCCTAGAAATAACTGCAAGAAAGAACAAAAAATATTAAATATATAAATAAGACTTTGTGTTTACAATTTGACAGACAGTGGAAGATAAGGGAAAAACAAATTACATTTTACTTGAACCTCAAACTTCAGTTTGTGAGAGGGTTTAATACTAAAATGGTTTTCTCTGGTATGATTTAAGACTTAGGATCAGATTTCTGTTTCTAGAGAGATTTGAAGAGGTGTTTTAGAAGCTGGGGTTGCACTGCATTCTTCCTGGACGCAGATCTAGTGGTTGAAACACAACCTCTGGGCTACAGAATATTTAAATATTTAAACAGATGTTTTACTGTAAACCAGGAGGATCACCAAAATAGTCAACAGAAAGTATAGTGTGCTCTGAAATAAACTGTGGGAGTGGGATGAGGGTGATGTTATTAGATGTTTTAAACAAGGGTAAGCCAGTAAATCCAGTCATTGGGAACAATACTAATTAGGTAAAATTTGTTGATAACCTTCTTGGAGCTTTCATTTAGATTGAAAAGTTGTTTTTGTGGAGCACCCTCACCTCATGACTTGGCTCATTCTTTACATACTGTTTTCAAAAGTTACTCTTGGATCTTCAGGAGAAAGAGCCCAGAGGATCCACTGAGGAGGCAGTGCTGGTGGTGGCAGGACTACATGGAGCGCATGTCATAAAATGAAGTTGTCATTAAGATATTTTCTAATTATATAATAATACCATTTAGGATGATATAACATAGCAACAGCTGCATCCTGTCACTCAACCTTACGCTATTTCAGTGTCTTTGCCTTTAAAATTACTACACATTTTGCAAAAGGATCAGAAAACATCTTTATGGATGACTCTTATTTGTTCAAGTTGTCTGAAGTGTGCTTTCCTAAGTCATGTTTAATTGTTTCAGTTGCTGACCAAATTTCTGAAGGAAAAAAAGTATTAATCAAACTACATAAAAATTATCTTTGCATATCCCTGTCAAATCACTGTCTTTTCTGGACAGAACATATAGGTTGTAGTTCAAGTATGTCATATGTGAACAGATATCTGGGCTGCCTCCCTGCTAATTCCACCCTCAGAAGCATGAAGGATATGACAGTATGGTTCAGGTGTCTCTGAGCATGCCTGTATGCAGCAAGACAATTTAGTTTGGGCACAGTGCTGAACAAATGTTCCTTATTGCTGTATTTCTGTGCCATGAAATAATTACGAGCAACAATTCTCTCCTTTTTTCCACTATAATCTCACACTGGATTCTCATGGCGTGATTTCAATTTTATTTAAAGAATTTTGCTGCATCTTCTCTCCCCATCGTTATCATGGACAGTGCAGTTCAGTGCCTAGGCAGGTTTTATCCATCTTGCTCCTTCTGTAAAGGCAAAATGACTCAGCCTTCTCCCCTGCTAAGACCAAAGCCCTGAGCTTCCTGATTCAGTGTCCTCAGCTGATCGGCAGGTCTAGGACTAATTTATGGAATGGGGAAGGCAAGAAAAAGAAACCTGTTCTGACTTTTTTCTTTAATTTTCCCTTCTCAACAGGAAACCAAAACTCAGTGTGTTCGAATAGCTACCAAAGGTAAGAAGTTTGTCCCCCCAAGCAAAATAACTTTTTAATGAAATGTGGAGTTTTTGTTAAATGATTGAACCAAAGCCAGTACCATCCCTGTATTTTGAACCACTTGCCTTTCTTAAAATGTAATAGGTTACCGCTTTCTGTTCTTTGGTATTGCATCAAGAGGGTGCTGTTCTAGCAATACTCAGAAGTTAGACAAATTCAGGGCACCTTTTTTTTTTTTTCTTCTTTTTTTTTTTTCCTCCTTCCATCTGTGGTTTTCAAGATCTACTTTTAGGCAGCTGGAGCATTGCAGGCAGCAGATAGGTGGGCTGGGCAGAAGAATAGTAAGAACACTTAGTTAAACCATCCATTATGCTAACAATTATTTCCAACCAGTGGCAATGGAGATTTTTTCCTTCATTTAAATGAAGGACACAGTAGTTAATTTTCATAAGGAAATCACAGCGTTAGATAGGCTTAGGGGAGGCTGATTTGAGGAAAGCTTGTATGCTTAATAACAAGAGTGGCCCAAGGCTTGAACTGACTGCATAGCTCTTAGAATAAATCTTATTGACCTCAAATACAGCAAGTTAATCACATACTACTCACTCAAAAATACAGTTTCATCTTCAAATGAGGACTTAGTCGTTCTGCTTATTGTTATCTTTTGCTTTGACTGTATTTATGTAGCTATCTATTGTGGTTGCTTGATTGAAACAACATGAGAGTTGTTTGAAAGACTCCAGTAGCATGAACAAGAGAGGACCTAACAAATGCTGTAGTGCACTACTCTGCAAAGGCCCAGCAATGCTTGCACTGTCTCTTTCTAATTGCATATTGATAATCACTGTAAAAGCACATTTAAATATAAGCAGGCAGGCATTTAAAGTACTGCTGTTGCACGTCAGTACCATCTTTTCTATTGCTTCTTTCAATTTAATACTTCTTCCAATTAAAAGCTTATGGCTCTAATGAGTTGGTTGTAACAAAGTGTTTTTCTGAGAAACTGAAAATTAAAATGTACCTCTCAAAAATTTGTTCAAACCTTTTTAATGCATAAAAGGTTTTGCACATATCATTCCCAAGATTTACCTTCTACTTCTGTGGACTGATTAAATAGTTTATTTACTGGTGTCAAACTGATGAAAGTCAGCACATTTAAACTGAAGTTCTCATGCTTTTTCAATCTGTGTATTGCAGGTGCGTTGATCTTATACATTTCTGATAACAAAATGTACTAAAGTGTGAGCTTGTCTAAAAGATGTTGCCAAATCATTACTAAAATATTTTGCTGCTTTTGGCATGTCTTGAAAAAATATTTTTAGAATAAGTTGAAAGGCTTACTAGTGTCTGGAGTATTAAAACACTGAGTTAATTTTTTTTTGGAAGAAAATATTGAAACAGCAACAGTTTGAAAAGTTTTCTCCAGAGCATTTCCTAATTTAGTATTATATGGGATTTCCTGGGCAACTGTTTTCACAAAGCTTCTAAGAATTTGATGATTTTGTGACTTTTACCCTTTTGCAGATTGGACTGAACTGACGAAGAGAATCTTAAGTTAATAGATGTGGTGAGAGGGAATGAAAGCTTTGATTCTTAAGGAAATCATGTTAAAAACCACTCCTTGTGGTGCAGATGTTGGGTGTAACATATTTAAATCTCCATTTCCATTACAAGGATGGCCCAGAAAATGAACTTGGATACTTTTAGCAAATAGAGATTAAGGTAGAAAATAATAGAGATTAAGGTAATAGGTCAGATGTTTATTAAGAGATGAGGAATGTTGCATTGCTCAGCCAAAAGGTAATGCATTTAATTTCCAATATAAAGTTCTCAAACTTACTGAAACTAATTTGGTTAGACAGAGTTCAACTTGTATGCTCATGCCTCAATGAATGAATATATGGTAACCGGACCTGTCTGACCAAACTGCTGCTGTAGGAATGAATGCAAGATGCACCATTTGCATGACAGGCACTTGAGAGTAACACATCATGTTGAAGACTGATCAGTATTATTTTAGAGCTGAGTTTAGACATGTAAGAATTTGAATAGGTTTCCACCAGCACATTACATTGGATTTTACAATCTAAAATTTTATCAACTGCTAACAGAATGAAACTAGACTAACATGGTCATAGAACAGTGACACTTCAAATTATTTAGCATGTAAATAGACATTTAAATGGACAGAGGGTCAGCAGAACTGTTATTAAGCAGAGGAAATATGAAGTCAACATTTCTGACAGCTTTTAGGCTGCCAAGTTTGAGGCTAACACTGATTTACATGTATTAGTTTGTTTTGAAGACTAGAGAAAAGAAAATAATTAGAAGAAATCTACCGTAGTAGAAGTGGTGGAATTGGCAGCTGTATTCCAAAGTATTTAGGAGTGATAAATGTAGACCAAGTTTTATTGCTCTGCATTTAAAACATGAACTTCATCACCTCCAAAATTCTTTTCCCTTTTGGTTTTCATTTGTATTACTAGTTCAGGCAGCATAGAAACTCTCCATCTCTCAGCACATTTGGTTCATACAGATGGATGAAAATGCTATTTGAGATGATGCGCATCTGGAAGTAATTGTGAAATAGCAGAAAATTACTTTTTAATCTGATTTGAGAAATAAAAAGGTCTGGGTGGTAACATTTCGACTACAAGTGTGCATTTAGTTCACCCTCATTATTGCTCTGAATTAATTTCCATAGCAGTTGGGGATTGATCCAAAGACCACTGATGTCAATGGGAGTCTTTTGCTGACATTAATTTGCTTTGGATTAGGTCTTCAGAAGTCATAAGTCTGTCTAGACCATAATTATTTTCTTGAAATTGTTCCTGATGATGTTTCTGCTCGCAGGGAAATTTGTGAAAGTCAAATCACCTCCTGTAGTGAAATGTTTGTATATGTATGTTTTACTGATTAATGCTCAAATGAGGGTGATCAGATGTTAAATGTATATGAAATGAAGCTCCTGTCTGTGCTGTCTGTATATTTGGATCAATGCCTGTAAAATGACTTTTGGCTGTACCATCTTAATAAGTTCTGAGACATTAGTGACAATCTAAATCTAGGAAATAATGCAGATGTTGCCAAAGTCACATCCTTCCTTTCACTCATTCATAGTAGAAACATCAATGTGTTTAAACTTTGGTGATCCGTTCCATAATTTTTGTCTCACAAAGAGATTTTTACTTGCTTGCTGAACTTTTCAAAGATGGAAACAGTTTTAGCAGTCAACTGAGGAGCACCTCCAGGTTTCCAGACACAAAACCTATAATACGATTATATTTGTGTACAATCAACTTCATTAGTTTTTCCCTGAACTAAAGCTAAGCCATATATTCTACCTCTGGGAGTAATTATGAACAGAAATAATATTTAGTTTCTGTCCCGTTTCCTAAGTATTCAAGACTTTGGTTTTATTCCTATGTTTTGAAAGACCTGTTGACAGCTTTTGGTGAGAAAAAAGTAGAATAAATATAATGAATAAATCTAACAGCTTTCCTAGATACCATTTTTGTTTTTTTAAGATACACTGCATAGGGAACCTGTTTATCGCATACAAAGATTCCTGTATTCATTTAATTAGTCTTTGAACATTTTGGTTTTTAATTAGTAACTTTGTAAGAGGAAATAGACTATTGTGGTACGTTAAAAATCATAATCAGCATGAGAGAATTTTAAGCCCAAAGATATAATAAATTCCATGATTTCAAGATGTTATATTATTGTTTTTGTCAGATGCTTAACAAATTGCTTTGTGTGGTTACTATAAGCAGATTGAATCTTAAAAACCTTGAAGGAACCAAAGTATAAGCATTTCAAATGTTAGACCTCAGATGTTTCTAGTTAACATTCAAATATTAGAAAATGGTTGATATATCATTTGCTGCTCTAAGTGAAAGAGGAGCATCTAAGCGTATATGCTTTTTAGTGATTTCCTGGTTTCTTTGGTCTCTTTAGCTATAATGAATATTGCTTCATTATTAATCATATTGGGAGCAGTCGATGTTTTGCATCCATTGTTGAAGAATATGTAGAAATTTACTGTTCCTACAAAAATTATTAAAATCCTAACTTCAATAGAAAATCTTTAATTTCTCTTATAATACATATACCGTTAAAATGACCCTTTAAAATAACTATTTGCCAGGGCTGCAGTGTTTTTTATCTTCCCTTTTTTCTGTTCTTTCATCATTTCTTACTTGTCTCTTCTTATGTCTCTCTCTTTGTGTCATGCTTAAGGTGAATTTGGACGTAATTTTGCAAGTGTTTAGAGAGGGTGAACTATCATCTTTTGATAGGACTTGTTTCATTGTCCCCATTTTGCCTGTACACCTGTACAAGACGAAATACTTTTGAGCAGTGAAACTGCTTACAGTGCATCTGGACAGGAAGTACAAGCAGGTCTTTTCCTTACAAAAGAGGATAGAACTCCAGCAACATCTAGATTAGAAGTGTGTCACTGATATTTGTGAAAGCCGTTTATGGGCCTAAAATCAGTTATCACTATGTTTCTCTTTATCTATTCAAACACCTTTAACTAAATGAAATGTAATTCCACGTTGTTGACAGGAGCATTACAACAGTTTATTAAACTATTTGCTTGTCATCTCTGACAGAGTGCTAAATGAAGATCCACAGTCAGCCACCTAGAAACAAGGAGCAGCATTGCCAAGAGTAGTAGCACTTCCTGAACACTGTCAAATGTGTTGCAGAGCAGCTTGGTATGGTTGATTGGAACTTCTGCCAAATTACTCAAATACGGAGATTGAGGCTTTGTCAGCTGTGTAAGAAGATGATTGCTCTTGAGTTCAGGAGCATGAGCTGCTTTCCTCTCTGATGGGCAGCTGTATGATAACCAGGCTATTTCTAGAAAAATCCTGACCAGAAGGATATGCAGATGGACTTTGCAGGAGGGAATATCTTTCTAGAAACAGTTTGCTTTCTGCCCATCAGAGCAGAGAGCAGCTACAGGCATTGTGTTTTTTTGTAGCCAGGTAAATACAAAGTGTAAGTGG